ATATATAATTGATTAGTAGTATTTCGAGTCAAAACGAGCCTAACACGAACAAACAAATCTTTGTTTGTGTTGTTTGTGTCGGTTCGTTAACTTAGCAAACGAGCTAAACACGAGATTCTTAACAAGCCGAACACGAGCTGTTCGCAAACAACGAGCCGATTTGACAGCTCTATTTCTAGGGATGCCTGAGAAAGGCCCGTCGACTCAAAGGCAAGGCCATCATCCTCTACACCAACACCTTCTTTCTCCGCTCATCTTTAGAATGTTTTGTGCCCTCATTTCTGAGGGTATTTCTCATATCAGGACCTTGTTTGGGATATTCATTTGGGGTTTCATTACCTTATCTGTCATAAGTTCTCACGAAATTGATAAGCGACCTACAAAAAAGAAGGGGATGAACGTTTGTGCAGAGCAGCGAGAGATAGCATGAGATAGTCAAATTTATGGGAACATGTCTTTGCCTTATTTATAACAAACAATTATATGAAAATCAAGAGAGCACCAATAGTTGAGGCCATTTGGTGGTAACTATCCTTTTATTGTATTAATTTATCTAATCATTATCACTGGGAGGCCTACTAATGTACAAGAAAACTAGATAACTAAAACATATAACATCAAAATTCTCTTAACCAAATCCTTTGCAGATCGAGTGGTTTTGAACCAGGCACGTGTTGCCTAACAAAATAAAAAAAAGATATCGAGCAATCGAATAGAGGTCAACCAACCTAGAATAATAATGAACCAGAGCTCGAGCATCAATTGGGCGACTGATCCAGAAGACGGAGGAACTAGAAATCAAACATCAATCAAACATCTGACGCTGAAGACAGACAAATAAGAACTCCAACATCAGTCTGACGACTAACCCAAAAGATAGACTAAACAACGTTCGGACATCAATCATGCAACCAACCCAAATGAAGGACGAACTACCGAATAATCAGCAATTGCACAACAAGAAACTAATTGATAAGGAGTGAGTTGATTAAAAAGAATTAGAGGTGTCATTGTCATTTCATATTATCCTTAGTCCTCTATATAAATAGAGGAATATTAAATGCAAATGAGTTTTTTGTAACTATATACGAAAATACCTAATTTCTCATATCTTTTACACATTTTGTCGCTCTCTCCCTCCAAACTCAATTTCTTGGGGTTTATTCGCGGACAAATTTGGATCCCTATACTATAATATGATAATCCATTTGAAATTAGAATAAAGGAAACTATATATGAAAATACCTAATTTCTCATATCTTTTACAGATTTTGTCGCTCTCTCCCTCCAAACTCAATTTCCTGGGGTTTATTCACGGACAAATTTGGATCCCTAAACTATAATATGATAATCCATTTGAAATTAGAATAAAAATTAACAATCATTTGAATTATTAAGAAAATTTGAATAATTCCTAGGATCATATAAAACATTTTTCAACTTATTAGCAACAACAATTGTAAAATGTACATCCAACAAATAATATCTTATTTGATTTTAAAAAAAAAAGTTTTCCTAAAATTTATATCTTATGGTATATAATTCTTCAAATACTTATTATAAATAAAGATATATTTTTTATTTTTAAATACATGCGAAAACATCAGGTTAGAGCCATGAAAAGCCAGGGTTCCAGAATAAAAGGCCTAAGCGAGCGAGATTAACGTGCTAACCAAGTAAACCACGCACATCGGTGAGGCCAACATCTTTAACTAATCAGCGCAAAGAATGGAGCGCTTATGCATACCATAGGTACAACTTCCAATTATTTTGCTCCACATAATTAATATCAACATTTTTAAAATTGGGTCCATTGTCATACACTTTTTTTGGAGTGAGGGTGGTTTTAAATTGGCGACTGTATGCAACTCTGCATACGGTTGCCATATGCAATAATTTTTCTAAACAATGGGTTGCATAGCACATAAATTAATTTGGAAAGATAGATCATAGATGCCCCAATATATTAAAATTTCATTTGAGAAGACGATGAACCTTTACTGTATTACAGTGAATACCATCACAAAAAATTTTCGTTTGATAGAACAGCGCTTTTGGAGCATCTCCAAAAATTATTCATGAAAATGACAATTTTTCACCATTTTGATCCACAAAAAATCTTCTTCTTATCACCAACATGAATTTCAAAAAAATTTCAAACAACCTAAATGATTGTTCAAGTTAATATCCTAATTAGAAATCATGCAAACATCCAAGAAGCCACGTGATGGCATTTGTTGTCCATACACAGCTCTGCGTCCAGACTCCAGATGCAATATTTTTTCGTGCCAGTGGCCTTCATTCGAATTCACTCACCACCACAAAAACAATTTTTTGCTCACAATGACATGTTTAAATTACACGTATGATGTTAGATAAAAGTTGCAATCCAAAGATTACAAATATTTGAAACAAAGCTGCGCCAAACAGACCCACAATCAAGCTATAATCCCCTCAAAACAAACTCATTCAATGATCACAAAGGTAGAGCATAAGCTCCACTGAAAGTTAATAACAAATGTATTCGTCATCTTGATCATCTAAATCCAAGTACAGAGGAAGCTAAGTGTAGCAAAGGCTGCAACGCACTGGGAGCAAATTTCCGAGCAAACAACACACAAACAGAAGAACGCTGACCATTATACAAACAATCCTGACCATCAAGAATTCTCTTGAAGAATTCTTCAGATACATCAGCCTCCCCAAATGTGGCAGGGTGAGAGCCACCCCTAGACCAATCTGTAAAAGTGATGCTCCTGTTTGCTATCAGACTTGATCTCATAATGTGAAGCAGAGTGGGGAAATAATGCTCATCGACATAGCATGGCGGTTTGCAGAACGCCTCGAAAGCTAAGTAGTATTTCGTGTCTTGCACCATATGAGCAGCAAGCTTTCGATCGACTTCGAACCACTGTGAACCTTTGCGCCACTGGCTGATGTTGATGAGGGGTGCCATTTGTGGAATGTATCTTCCCCTTGCATGAGGACCGGGGTCATCGAAGGAGTCCACAAAGCTGGTGTTTGATTCCTTTAGGTGAGTGTAGATTATACTGAAGCTGTGGAGAGGAATGCATGACTCGGAGAGAAGAACGAACCATTGGTTGGAAAGGTCGAGCAGCGCATTTGCGAGAAGCCGCCTCTCTGCATCGCACATGCTTATTTTTCCCCACTCTGTTACCTGAGATGATAGATGAGCTGACAAATAAGGTTGGTGTGAAACAGAATAGTTATTGGTTTTCAGATTGTTAGGCCTCATTTTGGGATCAATTTTATTTTTTTGGTTTCTATTTATTATTATTATTTAATTTTATTTATGTTTAGATTTGAATTAAAACATGTTTGCTTATGATAGTTATTTTTAAAAATACTAAATATTTCTAAAAATAAGGTGATTTATTTTAATATATATATATATATATATATATTATTTTTATTTTTTTTATTTTATTTTCATTATTTTTATTTTATTTTTAAAAAAGGAATGACCGGAGGTTATGATACCGGTCACCCCTCATGGGTCTAATAATTTGAGTACCGCATCCTACACTCGGGGGAATCGAATCCCATACCAGAATGGACAACTGACAAGCATATGCCCGACCAACTGATCTGAATACACAACGTTTGATTTATATATATACTATCTAAACATAATTTCAAAAGTAAAAGTAAAACAAAAATTGAGCAGGTTCATGTCAAGTCTGTTTCAAAGTTCAAAGTAACCCAGTAAGGCAAGTAGAAGGAAAACAGAGAACTCTATAAACTAACCACTAACTACCTAAGTTCATTATGAAGTCATTAGGTTCACAATGAATTCTATGCATTCATTATGAACTCATTAGAGCCATAGTGAAACTCACTAGAGTCATAATAAAATCGTAAATGATCAGAATCAAATTTAAGTCATCAGTCATGATAAACTGGACAGAATAATACTAAACTAGTTAAGTCACAACAAATCGTCAAAATCATATTGAATTCATCAGTCACAATTAACACGGTATAAACATACTAAACTCCTCAAAATCATAAAGGTTGCTAGCTACACTTTTAAAAGCTAATCTTCACATCCAGCCAACATCAAAGACTTTATCAGATAGTTGGTAATCCTATCTAAGAATCCACGATCTCACTTACGAAGCCGATAGCTTGGCAATCCTATCTAAGAATCCACGATCTCACTTATCTCAATTACCACCTCTATATTCCTCTGTGTGAGCGGGGGCGATTTTGTAAGAAAGAGTCAAAGAGTTTGTGAGGGATTGGTGAGCAACTACTTAGCAGGATTGTCCAAGATACTTGGTGATCATTAGTGGAAAAGTAGAGGAACCCAAATTCGCAACTTAAGGGTGTAATTTGTTTAATGATTTTTTTTTCTAAACTCATTATGTACTTTACAGGCTTTGATAAATAAAATATTTATTTTGTTGATTTAAAACATGAATTGTCACTAATCCTCTTTTCTCCTCTGATTTGGTAAGTAGAAATTCTAGGTTTTGATGTTGTTTATGTGACTTGCATGAAACAATATTGTGATGGTATTTTATCAGTTAAATCTTCATTTATATTCGATGTGGCCAATTGAATTGTTAAAAATCATTGTGAAATTTGACTTTTGGGAGAATCCTTAGTAGAACTGTTAAAAATCGTAGTGAAATTTGACTTTTGGGAGAATCCTTAGTAGAACAATAAGGATAAAATTCATTAGCTAGAAGAATAAGAATATTGCCCTTGGTTTAGTGCTATCTTGTAAGGAAAACTTCATCTTGAGAATTTCATTGGATTTAGGGAGCTAAAGTGGTTAATTGTCCTAATTTTCTTATTGCCACAAGAAGGGGCTAAGGAAAAAAATTGACCTGATAGACACCGTCAATAAAAAAATTAGGATCCAAATTTAGTTCACACTTTGTCTACCCTAGGTTTTTAGGATCCAAATTAGGGGAGATATTTTCACTTACAAGATTGACCTCTCATGTTTAAAGTAGGATTTTTGTTTTCACAAAAATTAAGTTACAGACTTAAAAAAATCACCAACAATCAAACCTTCAGGCTAAACTAAAAGAAAGTACGCTAGAAAATTTTCACACTTTAGACATTTGCTCGTTACTTGTGGGAACGATGGACGAACTCTATTTCGTATACTATTTGGATGACACATGTACTTGCATGATTCGGCGATAATTCGTAGCATTTTGTCCGTACAACTATTTTTTTTACTTGCACGTACAATACTTTGTTATCTAATTTACTTGTAAGTTTTTAGATTTTCATGCTAGTTTATGTTCTTTCTAATTACCTTTCAAATCCTATGAGTTTTTTAAGTGATTAAATTAGTTTTTGATCCCCAATCACTCTCCCCTCCTAGAGTGCCATAGTTATCTCACAATATTACCATTCATAATAATCTCAAATAGAGAAGCTAAATTTATTCATTATTTCTAAAAATTTGATGAAAATTTTTTAGGACAAAATTAAAATTTTTATCTACATTAAACCCCTAATAGATGGTCAGAGAGATGTTGTGAACATATCCTTAAGTGATTTAATAAGATAGAACATCAGCACTTGGGACCCGCATCTATTTAATTCTAAATTTGCATATATTAACAGTATTTCTAGAAAAACTCAGAAAATACCTTTTGAAATTGTTTATGATTATAACATAAAGAAACTTATTGATCTAGCTGATATTTCTCATCAATCCTTTTTAAATGCTGCATTTACCAAGTAGCGAATCCAATTAAGTAAAAATAGATATGCAAATGTTGCAAATTCTAAACCCTCCTAAAGGTGATCATGGCTTAATTCTAATTCATCCTAAGCATTATCCTAGAAAATATAACAAGTTATATGTGGCTTGTAGCTAAATCCTTAAGCAACCTGGATTAAATACTTGTCTCCTCAAATTGCATTTTGATACATGCAAAAGTCTTGTTTTTAATATTGAGTATAAACTGCCTTATTATGCCTCAAGCATCAAGATTTGCAAAATAAACCTATTATGAAAAAAACAAATAAAATTTTGCAGCCATAGCTCTTAGATATTTATGACAACATTTAAAAAAAAGAAACTCTTAGCACTAGTACAAACATCACCATGATTCCTGGTCAGAATAAAAATCAAAGCCCTTCTAAACACTTAAAATGATCAAAACAAACTTGAATAAGTCTACCTATAAACTAGTAAATGAGCATTAAGATTGTAATCTTTGCAAACCAGGGTTCTTTGAGGTTTGGTGAGGCTGAAGCAACATCAACATAGAGGATAATGATAAAATCACAAACTAAGGCACCGCATATAAATTTTAGCTATTTATCATGCAAAACTATCCAAGCAAGCCCATGGATGATCCCACTTCCCTACGACATGAATAGAGAATAATTAAGAAGCTTTATTTGAGGTCTTTTGAAGGATAGGTGGGCTACATGTTATGAGAGTGCCTAGCCTAAGAGCAAATTTGTCTATTGTACGCATAAGGGTAATTTAGTTTTTTATTATTTTTATTGTTGGGTATAAATAGGTTTGTTATGTCTAGGGTTAGTTTTTATGCATGAGATTGAGTTTGTGAGAGATTTCCTACCTCTCGAATTGTAGGAATTAGGAAAGACAACCCTCCTCTCGAATTGTAGGTGTTTAAAGATTGTTCGTTGGAACGTTTCCAAGCCATTCGGGAAGGAGACCTACACGAGCAATTCTATGCCTTGGCTCAGGAGGGAACGGTCATGAAATATAGAAAGAGATTCGAACTATTGTCGGGATGACTGTGGGAGATTTCTGAAGCAGGACTGAAAGAAAATTTCATGAAGGGCTTAAAGCCCGACATACGGGCAGTATTCTGATTACTTAGACTGCGAGGATTGAGGGAGATGTTGGAGCTAGCTCAGATGGTGGAGGATAAGATCCAAATGAAGAAAGCTAGTAGGAACAACACAGTTGGAGCGTCGTACGGAACAACTGCAATCATGAAGATGTCAAGGGTTCAAACAATGGAAGTTTACAGGGAGGCTGCACGGGACTCAAATAATGGACCAAGACCAGGAGCAACACTCAAGCATCTTACAGAGACAGAGATTCGGGAAAAGCGAGCTAAAGGGTTATGTTTTCGGTGTGATGAGAAGTTTATCCCACTACAGGGAGGCTGCACGGGACCCAAATAATGGACCATGACCAGAAGCAACACTCAAGCATCTTACAGAGACAGTGATTCGGGAAAAGCGAGCCAAAGAGTTATGTTTTCGGTGTGATGAGAAGTTTATCCCAGGACACCATTGCAAGGATCGAAAACTACAAATTCTCATAGTATAAGATGAAGAGGTACAGAATGACGAAATCGAGACAGTTGTGGGAGAAGAAGAGGAACACTCTCATTTTTTCCCACTTCGGGGGGGATTATTGTTACAAGGGTGCCTAGCCTAAGGGTAAATTTATTTTTTGTACGCCTAAGGGCAATTTAGTCTTTTATTATTATTATTATTATTATTTAGTATAAATAGGCTTGATATGTCTCAGGTTAGTTTTTATGCATGAGTTTGAGTTGTGAGTCTTTAGATCTAGGCTTCGGGAGAGATTTCCTACCTCTCGAATTGTAGGAATTGGGAGACACCGCCTACCTCTCGAATTGTAGGTGCTTATCTTTGTTTTATTGTTGAGTTGTTTGATTTATTCACCGCCTACCTCTCGAATTGTAGGTGTTTATCTTTGTTTTATTGTTGAGTTGTTTGATTTATTAAGGAAATATTGTATTTGCCCTAATTTTTCTGAAAAGAGTGCAAATTATGTGGTCGAATGTATCACTGCACTGATAAAAAAGTGAAAATCTTTAAAGATTCGTTTCTAACAAATCTGAGGAAAGTACCATCTAAACTTAGGATTTACGATGCCTTGATGCTTGCTAAGGAGATGATGAGACATTGGCAAGAGCTTTACTGGATCTTGAGAACTATTTGACCCAATTAAGAAGCTTAATGTGAGGCCTTCTAAGGGATTGGTCGGCCAAATAATAATAAAAAAAAAGTGAATATCTTCAAAGATTGGTTGATCTCACGGCTACATGTCATATATGGGATAGACAAATTTCATTGCTTGTGAAAGCTTTAAATTTTGTATAATTTTCCCGATTTTATTGTCCATTGCATTAGGATAACTCACCAATCCATGTAATAACAGTTTACTGGTTGCTAAGGTTGTTCCATACTTGGGTAGGTTAGGAAAAAACTATATAAGTAAGATATTGCCTTATACATTTTGAATTCATTGAACAATATTACATTTTGCTTGTATAAAATACATATAAAAATGCTAGGTGCTGGCTCTACTCTTTTGGGGAATCGTAGTGACTAATCTCCTAGGGATTTAGTGAGTTCTTAGTTATCTTTTCCCATTTATAGTCTACTCTCTCATCATAATTGCTCTCTCCTCTTAGTTAGGCTCTAGCTCAGAGCCTTTCAACTCCAATTTATCCCCAACTCCTTCAAAACCTTCCTATACATACCCCCAAAACCTTTAATACTTTCCAAAACCTTAACACCTTATTAACCAAAATTATCCGAGACAAAAAAAAAACAATATAGGAAGAATTTATTGATGTGAATAATAAGATTACAAAATTTACAACTATTAAAATACTAATGAAATACACATGAAAACACATAAACTAGTTCTCTAACATCCCAACAGTTTGATTTGAAGCTCCTTATCCTTTTCTCTAAGAAAAGCATCAAATAGTTCACCAAAACAAATGTCATAAAATTTCCTTCTAATCTGTTAACTTTCAAAAGTCTTCATCAATTATTTCATAAACATCATGTTCAGGTGGATTGTATCATAACTTTTGACTTTGTTAGCTGTAGCATCCATAAGCATCATATAGTTCACTAATTACTTCCACCAATAACAAGTATTTTAACATAAAATGACAACTTAGATATTCAAAAATGACACTTGGGATCCAAACCAGTGCCATGACCCAGTCTGCCGCACTAAAAATCCAGCATAAAATGAGGTGTAAAACAAACACAATCAACAATTATCCTCTTCCTTGTGCAAAAACAAGGCATAAAATAATCTATGATTTAACATAAGCTTATCTTCTCAAAGTAATAAGAAATTTTCTTTTATATAAGAATATACAAACTCATTGCGTAAAACCCATCAAGAACTTCAACATAGAAGTACAATATAAAAATTACAGAAAAGAAAGAGTGACGCGTGAAGGCAACTGAGACCTACCAGATGAAGTAAAATAATCTTTTAATGAAAGTTATGCCTCCTACTTTTTGAACCAACTCAATCTACCCAACTCAAAGTTCTAGCACACATTTCATTAAAAAAATAAGAACTAAAAAGAGCATGACATTGTTCCAAATATATTTTAAAAAATCATAAAAAAAAAATACCTGGCTAGGAATTTGCCTGTTGTAGAACACAGATTCAGGAGGGAAACTGGCTTTGTAGCCTGGCAGAGAATGAACATAGATAGAATAAAGACCTTCGTTCCCTTTGAAGAATCTCTCCCAAAGTGGAGAAAGAGGCAAAGGCCCTCTGGTCAAGAACATGAAAGCCACCTTTGGGACTCCATTAAATGGATACTCTTTCGCAAAGCTAGCGGCCCTGAAAAGCTCCTCATCACTCATATTATGCATCAGGCTCGAAGACGGCTTAATCCAACGGTCAAAAACACTCGGCTCCTTACTGACACATGGAAAAACCAGAGGGCTCGAAGTCCGCAAAACTGTTTTGGGAGAATCGTAGTACCGATAACCAAAGAACGAAGCAGCAGAAGCCAGAAGAAAAAATGGCAGAAAGCACTTCATGACACTTGAAATAAAAAATCTGGATTGCAACTTTGGAGATAAATCCTTGCCATCATCGGCATGGAAAACTCTGGGCAACATCTCCAAGCAATCAAAGGAAGACCCCGAGCAGCGATTCTGAGTTCTGAGCTGTATCAAAATCTTTTCTTTAAGTTGAAAAGAGCGGGCTTTCTCACACACCAAAGGTCTGTAAGGGCTGTGTTTGGGAGAATAGGTTGGAGAAGATGAAAATCGTAGGGTTGATGTTCAGGGAAAACCGAATATAAATGATTAAATGAATGATCGGCTCACTGTGTCGAGTGCAGCACAAAATCTTCGCGAATCACACAGTTTAAGATGAGTAGATTAGAAATGGGAATCGACGAGGATTGTTCCTGGGCTGGCGCTGGTGGGAGCTGACCGAAGAGTCCACAGTGATGCACCAAGCAGAAAAGATGAAGTCAGCGAGACGAGACCTTTTTTAACCTCTCATAATCTCCGTTTTAAATTACAAATTTAAACTTATACACTATACAGAGGAAGCCGATCCGGGCCGGGGTATTATAAGTCAACAATTAGGCCCATAAATGAAGCACAATACAACTGAAGTTGTAGCTCCATTAATATTTTGTTCATATTTATTCAAATTAATAAATGAATAAATTTTAATATTTTATTAGAGTCTAAGATTAAATGTATAAAATTTGAGTCCAACTAGTTTATTAATATTCATGAACAAATTAATTTATAGTTCAAAAAATAATATTTTAAATGCTCTGTATTTCAACGAGTAGCTTTTTGACTACTGTATTTCCCTTAGAAATCAAGTGATCAAGATTGAGTTAGACCACCATTTTTAATCTATGGTGGTTGCACTATTGTATAGTGTAATTGTAGTAGATCTCATTTCATTCTCAATCCCAATGAGACATGTAGAATGGAAGACTGTGCTTCACCATTGATTAGGTTAGGTTCATAAAATTTTGTTAAGAAAATCCAAATAGTGGATTTTTAAAGGTAGTGATTTAGCATATTTGCTCGCACGCCATATAATGCATGTGATGTGCTATTCAAGATTGGATTATAGAGTCCATCGCCTCAGCATTGCCTATACAACATCTTGACACCATATGTCTTATTTTTACATGAAGGCCATAGCGTGTTAATGCTGCTTTTGTGGTGTTGTTGTGATAATTGTCATAATGTATCACGTTACATTTTATTGTCATAATATTCTAAGAAGTAGCATGAAGAGCATGTTGTTATCATGTTATCTAATACAACATTTTGGATAGGGCTATGTAGCACCTCAGTCCTAAACAACTAGTGCCTTGATGCTATGTCGGTAGTGCCCTACACTACTCAACTGGCGCTTCAAGTGTGCACCTCTATAATGTTATTTAAATATCACTACAAAGTGGGTGTTCCTCATGTGTTTGAGATTATATTTCAAACAATTATTCATGTTAATTGCATGCAAAAAAAAAAACCTCTCTATGCAAATTACATTGCTTTGTGAAACCAAGTAGCACTTGCATATAAATCTAGGATAAAGCAAGCACTTCAATGTTGGGACTTATGTAGATATGTGAGTTAACTTGTGATTATAATATATTAGTGGGCATTATTTTTTAGTATATGTAAGAACTAAAATTTTCCTTTTTCCGCTCACCCGCACATTAGCCTCCAACTTGCATAAGTCACGCAACTAATTTATTTACCTTTGTTGCTTTTCTGCTTTCGCCACCTTCCTGATCTTGACTCCTGCGATACTTTCTTTCCTTTTTCTCCTTTCCATTCTTAGCACCGTCTCTTTCAGCTATTTAGGGAAGATGGAAGCTTAAGGCATTGCAAATTTCTACCCTACAACCATTGATCTCCATTTATCTAAAAATCATTGCCTTTATGGTCGAACCATTGCAATACAACCACAATTAGAGCTAGCCAAGAAGCAAACTAAAACTCCTATCTTTCTCCTCCTAATAATAGCTTCACAGCCCTGTCTCCTTACCATCATAGCAGAGACCTAAAGTGAGCTCACTCCTCCTTGCTTTCCACTTCTCCTTCTTTCAATAATATTATTATCAAAGTTATAATCAATTAGATTTAACATTTTCCTTAAAATCCCATTAGGTTGGAAGAAGGAAAATTGCAAATCAACCCTTAGACCTAACCTAATAATCATAATACATTTAATTGCATAATTGTTAATTTTTGTGGATTCTAATTTGTGTAGGATTTGCTAGTCAACACTGGTTGAACAAAGAAATTTGGAGATTCACGTTCATCTCGAGGCAAGTAACAGTTCTTTGTTAAACGATAAACTTACCCTTCTTTGTTAGGGTGTTATCCATACTATTTGTATTAAATTCCTAGCTAATTGTAGGTTTGTCATTTGTATCAATTAACATCAATTTGATATGTTAAAAAAACATTATTATATTTTCATAATATTTCTAAATACTAGTTGACATGTTATAGTTATATTCATGTGCTTTGATTACAGTGTATGTTATATATATATATATATATATATGTATGTATGTATGTAGTGGATTTTCATTGAATTGGTGCAAACTTCTCTTTGTTTTAGGGTGTCGCAGAAAATCCATTATATAACACACACACACACACACATACTACACTTCTATTTAATTAGGTAGTGTTAATAGATTTAAAAATTATACATATATAAACACACCCAATGTTGTAACCTATAAATATCTACAGAAAAGTACATGTGTTCAAATCACTCATATTCACAATCATAAAAATTTGATATTCTTTGAAACTTTATGTAATATATATAATGAATTGTCCATTTTTATTGTTCATACTGTATGCACGGTTCCTTATCATTTATGCTTTAGAAAATAGATGTTATTTACTTAGTTTAATTTGCCAAACTCACCCGTTGATATTTTTATAAAGAATATTTTACTGAGTTACTTGAAGAAGCATCTCCATCGGAGTAGACTTTCCAGCTGTAAATTTATGTTTGATATTTTCAATTTTGCGTTAGTTATTTCCTTTTTGAGTTTGGGTACTTATCTCCCTATTATTATTTTGGTTTCTTGCAGTTATTTCTTTATTTTAAAACATTCAAATATTTTAAATGAAGATCGTGTCTTTGTGATTCAGGTGTAGCTCCTGGCTTAATTTTTGTGCAAATTTCTTATACGTGGTTGTTGTCAATCTGGGATATTGTGTTCTTCTTAAGCCTATGCCTAGGTCCCAAGAAGATTTGAAATTCCACAAAGATAACTCTCGTCTCTATCTTTATGTCGTCCTCAATAATTTCAGATCTCTACCAATGGTTGCGAGATCCAGAATAAAATATTTCTATTTTAGGTGGATTTCGCTGTTAACCTAATTGTTCCACTACGCTTTTGTCGAAATCGTAAATCACAATAGATTTTAACGTCCTAACAAGCCAAGTTAGGAGTAAACGAAGACCAGAAGGTTAACCAACAATATTTATCAAATTAAAATGCAAAAAAATAGTATATGAGAAAATCAAACTAAGAAATCCATCCAAAAATCACAGAGGCATTAAAAGTTATTTAGCTACTCATGGCTCAAAAGAAAAACAAAGAAAATTTCATTGAATTAAATCTACAAGAAATATTTTTATTGAAATAAAAATAACTTATAGCTCTTTGATCTCCTGTCTAAAAAGAACTATACTCAACTTCTCTCCGGGCCTCTCTCAAAAAAACAAAACAAAGAAAACTCAGAGGAGAAGAATAATTCCCTCTAAACCTAACATCCTTATGCAATCTCTCCTCCAAAAACCTCCCTAAGAGTCTTCAATTACGTTATTTTATGGCTTGAGTTCAAATTCCTTTCAAAATTTGTTAAGAATCCCGTACGAAAAAATTTTCAAAATAGAAATTATACTCCAGCGTGACCATGTCTGATCTTCGATGTAATTAAGCCACAGTCTCGGGTTGGGTGACATGGTTAGGCCGTGATTCGGCGTGGCTACGCCGATCCCTCCAAAGTGTCGCCTCCTTCAACACATTGGGAATGACCACACCCGAAAATGACGTGGCCATGTTGCTCAAGTGGCGTGGCCACATCAGATCCATGCGTGGCTACGTCGGTCCGAATTTTTCTATATATCTTCGTTTTGCTCCAATTTACATGTTAGTCCTACTGTAACATACAAAATGCAATTTCGACCTTCCATAAGCATAAAATCATATATTTAAAGTGGAAAATTGCTTTAATTAAAGCATAAAAAATGTAAAAATTTGATGCATGTTTTGGTGCGCTCTAGTTCCATTATTTTATTGGCTTTCTTTGACTATATTGTGAAAGTGTCTTTACATTGAAGCAATTGTGAGGTTCTCTAATTACTATTTCAAAATTTTATTATAAAATTTGGTTACTGTTGGACCTTCCCAACCAAATAAAATCCTCAAAAGAAAAGAAATTTAGCTTTAAAAAATCTAAGATATTTACTTTTATTTTTTTATCATCCTTATGGAGCGCCAAGGCCTTACTTAATCTATGTAAATGGCTTGATATTTTTAATGGTTACCATTGTCTGCTTGTCTATCTGATCGTTCGTTTGTTCAGCTTGAAATTTTAATGACTTCCTTTGTCTGTTTGTCTGTCTGTCCATCCATCCGACCATTCATTAGTATATCTAACTGTCCATCCATGTGTGTGTGTGTGTTTTAACAACTAAGCATTATATGGTTTTATTAACAACACTTTTTTGTGCATAGATTGATCATTAAAAAACCTTTAGAAATTTGATTGAAATTCATATTTAAATAGAAAATTACAAAGAGTCATTCCTCTTTAGTTTGTTAATTTGGTTGTTTCATGCATTAATGTTAAATATTTTTATTGATAATTAATGAAGAAATTAAATGTTACTTAAATTTCACAAATAGGAAATGGAAAAATGACCCCATCTACCCCTTCCTTTGTATGATTATAATGGATGCTTTATCTTATCTTCTTGAATATTACATGACTAATGGTTTTTATAAATCTACTAATAATGGGATCACATATTTAAGCCACTCATGTCTCCAAATGAATCTTTTGGTTTTGGAACTTGCCAAAAAAGGTACCAATTTTGACCTTCATAACATTACCTTTACTATGTTGATTATCTTGGCCAAGAGGCTAAACTTGACAAAGTTAAGATCATTTCCTCCATGAATAATAGAATCTTGGACATTTGTATAAAATCCTTTCCATTTAATACTGTAGCTTTCTACTAAATTGCTTAGGTTTACCTCTTAATCCAAGTTGAATTTAAGTGTAGCATTTCCATTCCCATTTTGGTAAGCTTAATTGTTAGTTAGGTTGTTTGAAGCCTAAAGACGTATCTTTGGAAGGTATATTTCAATTAATAAGACATTAGTTAATAACCCGTCTTCTTATTGACTATGATATGCTTCTCTTCTAAGTGCCATTGAAATTTTGACTATATTTTTTTTAACATAATAATTAC